TGTCCGAGCCCCCGCATCTGGGGACCTTAGGCTGGTTTCATGACCCTCGGTGTAGGAACCGATTGTTGTCTGGTTGGCTCCACCCGGCCCCCTTGTCTTTGTTCCTTTTGTTGCTTACACTGCTCTATAGCTCCATGTCCCTGTTAATTGTAAACTCCTTCTCCATGCACGTGTTGTCAAGGATGCCATTTTTATTGTCCTCTCTATCCTACATGTCTGCCTGATATACAGTGCCTGTTAGCTGAATCTAACTGAAGAGTGTGAGGAAATTGCACGTCTCTCAATCAGAAATACTCTAGAGTCAACTGAAATTCATCCCAGCACCCCATCTGGGACATCAAAGACCACAGCTAGAGGAAGAAGAGACTGTGGGGTTTTTTGAAAGCATCACCCTGCATGTCAAGCCCAACCAGTACTGATGTGTTAAATACGAGTATCTGTTATATAGAGTAAATTCCTAGAATACTCTGGAGACAAAGATGGAAAAGATCATTTATTAACTATTCTTTGCTTATACTCGATAAATATTTTATTAATTTAAATTTTATTAATTTATCATTAGCACAAAAAATGATAGGTTGTATAATGACATTGTCATATGTGTATCATCCCATTACTGTTCCTTGTATCCCCACTGGTTTCCTTCCTGTCCAAAATTGTCTCCTTTTTGCTTTCATGTCTTAAATGTAGTAAATACACAGAGTTAAATCTAGATTCTGCATATGAGAGAAATCATGATGGATTCGTCTTTCCCCATTGACCTCCTTTGCTTCCCTTTCCCTTTATAGACCCTTTCTTCCCCCACTTGTAGTCTCTTCTGTTTCCATAGTGTGTGTGTGTGTGTGTGTGTGTGTGAGAGAGAGAGAGAGAGAGAGAGAGAGAGAGAGAGAGAGAGAGAGAGAGAGAGAGAGAGAGAGAGAGAGATTCTGAAAAACATTTGAATTAAGACACTGGAAGGAGATTTAGTGGTTTGAGTAAGAATGGACCCCATGGGTTCATATATTTAAATGCTTCAGGAGTGGCATTATATGAAAGGAAAAGAAGGTGTGGCTTTATTGGAGGAAGTGTGCCATTTGGGGTGGGCTTTGAGGTTTCAAAAGCCAAGCCAGGCCCAATGGTTCTCTCTCTTCTTGCTGCCTGTGGATACAGATACGGAACTCTGGGCTACCATGTCTGCCTGTATGTTGCCATACTCCCCACCATGCTCCCCACCATGCTCCCCATCATGCTAGTAATAGACTAAACCTCTGACACTGTAAGTTAGCCCCAATTAACTGCTTCCCTTTATAAGAGTTGTCGCGGTCATGGTGTCTCTTCACAGCAACAGAATACTGACTAAGTTGGGGTGAGCACTCCAGCAATCCTAGCACTGGCTACATAGTGAGGTCTTGTCTCAGAAAGGCAAAAAAAACTTTTTAAATAAATAGGAAAAAGGAACATCTCCCTCACAAAAGAAAGGAAGAATATTTAAATGTATAAGTGACAAGAATTTATTATTGTTTATCATTTTATTGCTGTATTACAGGCACTGACACAATAAGCAACTAACTGTTGGATAGAAAAAATAGATAAGCAGCCAGGCATTGGTGGCGCACGCCTTTAGTCCCAGCACTTGGGAGGCAGAGGCAGGCAGATCTCTGTGAGTTTGAGGCCAGCCTGGTCTACAGAGTGAGTTCCAGGACAACCTCCAAAACAATACAGAGAACCCCTGTCTCAAAAAACCACAAAAAAATAGATAAGCATTTCTTGAACAGAGTATTTGGGCCCAGAGCAAAGACAAGTGTCCCTTGGACTGCCTGTCATTTTAACCCAAATCCACCTTCCTCCCAGAAGCAGCCTTTGCCTGCTAGCATTTTCATTTTTCTGAATGTCAAAAGTTTCTGGGGGCTGCTTGATTACTTAGCAAACATTCATGGAGCCCTGTGAGTCATGCTCCATGCTAAGCATGCCACACAACTCATCTAGTCCTCACAGCAAGTATTGCTGTCTTCATAGTAGCCATTGCTACTGAAGCATCATCTCCAACTACTGATAAGGAAATTCTGGTATGAAAGAAATGACTACATGACCTAGTTCACATAGTGGGAGCCAGAGTCAGTACTTAAAGCCCCAGAGCCCCCTCCACCACACCTTTTGGGGGAAGGGGATAGAGACAGGGTTCCTCTGTGCAGTCCTGGCTATCCTGGAACTCAGTCTGTAGACTAAGCTGGCTTCGAACTCAGAGATCTGCCTGCCTCTGTCTCGAGTTCTGGCATTGGAGCCATGTGCCATGACCCCCTAGCCAGAGCCTGCCTCTTTAAGCACTAGACTACCTGTCTTTGTTCTAAATCAGTTGGTTCTCAACATGTGGGTTATGCCCCCCCTTTGGGGTCAAATGATCCTTTCACAGGGGTTGCCTAAGGCCAACAGAAAACACAGGTCTTTACATTAAGATTCATAACAGTAGCAAAATTATAGTCATGAAGTAGCAATGAGTATGATTGGGGGTCGCCACAACATGAGGAACTGTGCTAAAGGGTTGTAGCATTAGGAAGGTTGAGAACCCCTGCCACAGACAGATCTTTGATGGCTCAAGATATCTGAAGCCCTAGGTATCTGAGGCTCTAACATTCAAGGCTATAGCCTGACCAGAGCTTTGAGCACATGTAGTCCTCACACTTAAAGAACATTTGTTAAGATCAACTGTGTGTCTGGACGAACCTTACCAGATTTACAGAACCCTGGCCTCATGTAGCTTACATTCTAATGATAAGAAACAGGAAAATATCCAAGAGAACTAGCCAACACACCAACTGAGAAGTCATCTTAAATGTAACAAAGGAAACAGAGCAGACTAATGAGCTCTGGGGGAGTGCCACAAGGCAGGAGCTTGAGAGGAGAAAACTGGCGGTACAGCAGGGGTTTGTGGTAGATTCTTTTCTGTCACTGGGATAAAGCACCATGACTGAAAGCAAATCAAGAAAGGGTTTACAGCCCGAGGTGGTGGCGCATGTCTTTAAGCCCAGCACTTGGGAGGCAGAGGCAGGAGATCTCAGTGAGTTCAAGGCCAGCCTGGTCTATAGAGTGAGGGCCAGGACAGTCAGGACTGCTACACAGAGAAACTGGTCCAGAGAGCTAAAGTCTCTCATGATGACTCAGGCATGGCACTGTAAACAACAACCATGGTGAAAGGAACAGGAAGTCGGCAGATCACATTTTTTTCCACACACAAGAAGCAGAAGGGACAAACAGGAAGTGGGATGTGGCTATAAACCATCAAAGCCCGCCCTCAGGGACAGACTTCCTCCAGCAGAGCCCCACCTCCAACTTCAGACTGTGTTCAAATACCTGAGCCTACGGGAGACGATTCTCTCTCAAACCACCACAGAACTCCAGACTTGCCACAGTGTTAATTCCCAGTAAACACTACATGGGCCCTTTGCCTTTGTCCCTGAATGTCTCTGAACAGCCCATTCCATCTGGGGTCACTGAGCATTGTCCCCGGGGTATATGTCCGTCATGGTCAACACACCTGTTCATCATGTCAGCAGGCCTGTCTATCATGGGGTAGCAGTCCCATAATTGCCTTTTGGGGGTGTGGCCAGCCATGTAGGCATCTTCCCAGCTTACAAGTTGAGTCAATTTAGACAGATTAACGACCCCAAACTTCCGTTTTCTGGCATAAAAAGTAGGGTCACAAGGTGCAGATCTCATGTCACTATGACTCATGGTTCATTTTGACTGTCAACTTGATAGGATCTAGAGTCACGTCGATAACAAATCTATGGGCCTGCTTGAGAGGAACTTTATATATTCAGTTACTTAAGGTAGAAAGACCCACCCTAAATGCAAGCAATATCATTCCATAGGCTGTTGTTCTAGACTGAATAGAAAGGATAGAGTGGGCCGAATCCGAACTATTATCTTTCTGAGCTTATTGACTGTGGGTACAATGTAAGCAGACACCACTTGCTTCTGGCAACATGGCTTCTCCATTGTGGTGATCTATATCCCTCTGGAACTGTAAGTCAACATAAACCTTCCTTAGGCTGTGTTTTTTTTTTCAAGTATCCTGTCATAACAACAAGTAACAAACATAAGATCCTATTCCTGTGTCAGCACAGCCCAGGGCTGGAGAAAGAAAGTACACATAGGCAGTTCTCATGAAACGGTGAGTATTTTTTATTGCTCGTACCAGGAATTGATCCCTCAGGTTTAAATACTTCCTAGCAGAATATACCAGAACCTCTGGCACCAGCTATGTTGTCTTCTAGACTGATAACAATAGATTACTGGAAAGAGTCTGAAAGGCATGATCTGAAAGGTCTACTGCTTCCCATATAGCATTATCTCTTTTGCTTGTTTTTTTTATGTGGCATGCTGGAAATTTCTAGTCTTATTCATTCAAAGTCCCTCTCCATTCTATTCTGTTTCATGTCAGCTTAAGCAGGAAGTCATCAGCAACATGACCTCCTGATGGAGAATCAATAACTCAAAGTGTAGAGTGCATGAGCAGAAAACTCAATTCTCGACCAGATGAAAAGAGAAGATGATTTAACCCAAGGAATGCCATGGCAGGATTTCTACCCGATTCCGGAGAAAGAGACTCTGAGGACTGAGGGGAGGCCTCCACCCTGTCTATGTCAGTGCTTTTAGCTTTGTTAAGGACCAAGCCCTAGCGCCATCTCCTGGTGGAACTGAAAACTGGATAAGAGTCATTTCATGCAAGGACCCTCCCTCTCCTCGATAAGAATTCAGTTCAGGAGAAAAACCTGCAATTCTGTCAGAACAGCTGTGCTCTTCAACCCCCTGTGAAGTATCTAGATGGAGACTAGATAAGAATGCCGGCCTGTTACAGTCCCCTCAGGGATGGCCCCTGCTCTGCCATCACTTCCTTTGTTTCCGTAAGAACTCATTGCTCATCTCCTTGGCAGAGGCACCAGCCACCGGAGGCAGCTTGTGACAGACAGCCCACTCCCACCCACATACCCATCCTACCTGTGGACCCTCTTCTGCCCAAATTAGCACCTTCAAAGACTTCTGCTTTCTGGAGATACTTTAACAAAGAAGTCATAATGGAATCCGTGTCCAGAGTCAGACTTCTGCCCACTGCAAAGCTGCAAGGCCACGCTCACCCCAGACCCAGAATTCCACGGTAAGGATCCGTTTGGTATCTTGCCCTTCCTAGGGAGAGGAAGGACCCCCTGACCGCGTGGCCCCTCACTTTCTAAGTCCTAGGAAGATTGGGTGGTCTAGATCAAGGGGCCGCCCCATTCAGCTCCTTACACACCTTCAAGCCATGTGACTTGACATCATCAGGCAGAGATTCCAAAAGAGCTAGAAAAATGAATCTGCAGACTTGTTAACCAAGGAACAAAGCACATTCCAAGAAATCCTGGATTATCATTATCCTCAGGAGAAATGTGCAAGCCAGTTTAACACAGGAGAGCCTCTGGTTGGCTAGCTCCTTCAAGCTCTGCGGGATGTTATATGTGAACTTGTGTTAGATACCGTGTCCTGAGCCTTTTCTGTGTGGTAGACAATGTGTTCAGCCCTTTGCCAGCGGTTCCTCTCCATCTTGGTAATGCCCCGTGCAATCTGCATGTGTGTTTTCACTTAAGAGACAAAAAAAAAAAGTGTCAGGGAGAACGTGAGTAATTTCCCCAAATTTGATCTTACAGCAAATAAACGGAAGAGACAGAACTCAAATGTGTACTCCCTAGTTCCTCTCCATCACTATAAAGTGTTTTTCAGAAGCCAGGGATTCGGGGTTTCCTCCGGCAATGTTGGCAAGAGCACTCCTTATAGTCGCAGGACCAATGAAATGGAGATAATAGTCTCTAAATGGAGGTACTGTGAATGTGTGTGCCAAGTAAGAGCCTGGCGCTGCTGTAACATCCGTAACATCCGTAACATGCGTATCATCCGTAACAGCCAGCGCTTCTTACCCCTTCTCGCGGAACAGGATGCAGCCAGTCAAATCCTCCTTCCAGTCCTCTCCTTTGGTCATTACCCGAAAGCCTGCTTTTCAGGGCCCTGTTAGTAGTTTCTCACAGTGTCCACGTCTGACGATTGATTTCTCATGGCTATTTGCAAAAGCACAAATATAAATGCTATTAACTGGCAGTAAAACCAGCCAGCCGATTCTAAAAGCCGGTGCTGGCAACTGTCCGTGGTCTTCGGGGACCTTTGGTTTGCCAGGTCCTGCTAATGCAAACATTTCTTTTGATGTCAAGATGCCAAGGGTGGTAACCTTGCCTCTTGCTCAGCATTTATAGAATGACGTCTGACTGGATGGAGAGAAGACACTCTTTTAATATAAATCAGAGAGCCTTCAGAGTTCCTAATGCCAGAATCAAGCATCCCGGCTCAGTTTATAGATTTCTTTCTTTATTCCAGTAACATTACTTTTTTATTTTGATTAAGAAAAATTAAGAAACTCAATTGGCATTCTTAGGTCATCCGTTGGATTCCTGCACTGGACACTGAACATCAAAAATGTGCAGATACACAGACAAACTTGTTCAAGGCGCTCACAATCTAGTGTCAGGACACAGCTTACACATGACGCAACCGGAGAAGCAGAGCCAGCAGCCACAGCCAGTGCGAGCAGGAGGGCTGCGGACAACAGCAGTTACTCATGCTCAGAAGGGAAATCGGAAGCCCACAGCTACGTGCTTGCTGCGCCTGCTTTCCCTGTATCTTACCTTGCCTTCTAGCTGATCTGTAAAACGACAAAGAGAAACCCTTTTTCTCTTTTTAAGAAACCACACACACTTCAGTTGCTGTATTTTCCTTGCATGTGGAACTGGGTTTCAGAGAACGTCCTATGCAAGTCCGTGGCTACTTTAAGCAGACCTGCCTCTGCTTCTTCTCCCCCCCTTCCCCCTCTCATTAGTCCCCTCTGTTCTCCTAGACAGTTGGATTTATGCATCTAGATAAAATCCAGGACACAAAAATGAGAGAGGACACACAGTGTTTGTCTTCCTGAGTCTGACTTAATTCACTTAACATTATCTCTTGTTGTATCCACTTTCCTACAAATGACATAATTTTATTCTTTGGGACTGAAATTTTTCCATTAAGAGCGCATGTATACCACATCTTTATTTATTCCTCTGCTGCAGGACATCTAAGTGGGTTCCATAACTTGACTATATTTTTTTTAGATTTTAACACAATTACATCATCTCTTTCTTCCTCCAAACCTTCCCATATCCCTCCCCCCTGCTCTCTCAAGACCATGGTCTCTTTTTCTTTGATTTTTGTCACAAGTACACATATACCCTGCTCAGTCTGTGTAATGTGACTTACATGTACATGCTAGCAGGGATGGCCATTTAACTATTCTTTTAACACAAGCTTTTGAGTGCTGACTGAATCAGGTAACATCATGGTTGCAAGGATACAGTGTTGGGCCATGCCCTGGCCTTGCCTGCTGGATGCTATAGTGTGGTGGGAAAGGGGATACAGTGTTGGGCCATGCCCTGGCCTTGTCTGCTGGATGCTATAGTGTGGTTGCAAGGGTACGTGTTGGGCCATGCCCTGGCCTTGTCTGCTGGATGCTATAGTGTGGTGGGGAAGGAAAGGAGGACAGACAACAAGAAGTGAATGGATAAATGCATCACACGTTCGGTAAAGACGATATCGAGGAAGAAAAGCCAATCAAGGCATTATCGGATGACAGTGGGGCTGTGACAAGGGTAGTTTAAGGAGTGCCCTTGGTCAGTTGATATAAAACCAGGGGCGTGGAGTAAGTGAAATCACCCAAACTAAAACCTAAAGGAAGGACATTCCTGGAATGAGGGACAGCAACTCAAAGACTCTGAGATAAGGAGACTCGGGACCTTACCAGAGCAGAGGAGGTGGGTGTGGTTGATCGCTGTGGGTGTGGGCATTAGAGGAAAATGCAAAGAAGGTGGGGGAAAGCATGAAGGTTTGGTCCGTAGCTTCATGTGTGAGAGCTAAAGTTATGTTTTAAGTTTACATTACTGTGCTTAAGAGATCTATAAAACAAAAATGCCTCTAACCTGTAAGTTTCATTTCGGAAATTACTACACTTAAGGAGAGAGAAAACTAGGGAGAGAAGTTCAGAGACCAAAGAGAGTTTCAGGCATCTCATGACAAACTGGGAAATAGATCCTGCCTTCTTTGGCCCCCTGAGTCCAGGGAGCTGCTTCTCTCCAAAGACCCCTAGTGTGGTTGCCTGTTGGCGCTGTTAAAGGTGCTGAGCCTTTCAGTACTCATTTGTCCATGTTTGATTGGCATTGTCATCTCTACCACTTGTGACAGATGTCTGTTGATTCCATTGGTCGAGACTAAGACCACTACCACAGTTTAAAGCCAAATTTGAAGCAAGCTTCAATTAAATACTGCCCAGATGGATGGGCTCTGGCTAGGTCCATAACTGGGTTCCCAGTAAGTGGCCTCAAGTCATATTTTGCAGGGGCTTAAGACAAAACCCATAATTCAAGGCATTTCTCACAAGGTCCAATCAGGGACAAGCAAACATCCTGCCTACATCCAATCAGGGGCAAGAGTCCATTCTGACACGTCTCCTGGCCACGTGTGATCAAGCACATCTGGTGCAATCGCTCAAACAAACTTGTTTAGGGGACTGAAAACATGTGGCTTGTTACCTCACATAAACAACAGCCTCCAGCATTTCAGAAACTATCTGTCCTTGAGCAAGGGTCTTTCAGATCACAGGCATTTTTGTTTCGTGGATCTCTTAAGGATAATGATTAAAACTTAAAATGTGTCACCAAAGTTAAACAAATGCAAGTTAATTGGATTTCCTAGAAGCTCACTGAGGTAGTGCAGAGCAAACAGTGGGGGGTGAGAAACTTAGCTGAAGACTTGTGTTTTGACATAAAATTCATGTAACTGCTGCTTTCCATTCCAGACCTCCCTGTGAGAACCTAGGTGCAATGGCTTATCTTATTTGGTGAGAGAACATGGTTCTTGTGAAAACACAAGCCATTGCCAGTATGAACGGGTTACCACTACAGCGTGGAGATCCTCTGCCTCTTAGTCATCTGTGAGCATCAGCGGACATGACTGTGAGCAACGAGCACAATCTGAAAGACTCAAAGCCACCGCACGTGTCTGGGTAAACTCCCATAGAAGGTGATGTCGCAGAGGAGAAAGCATCCTCAGTAAATGGATATTTCTGTTCCCCAGACAGCATTGCCAGCATCCCAGAGCAGCCATGTTCCTGATATTCTGTTTGTTTAATGTCTGGCAACTGCTTGGATTTAATGACTTGGGCATACACAGCTATCCACACAGATTAGAGAATGTGTCTATTTGGGTGAGGATAAAGAGAAATTGAAGTATCTGTGCATCCAGGATGGAAGAAGCATCAATGCCACTGTGACTACATAATGCTCTGCTAAAATGTTTGAGGGGCTCTACCGTGTTGCCCTCCAATTCAGAGTTGGTACAACCACAGGCGCCTTGGCTGATAGGAGCAGGAAGGGAGCCATACTGGAGCTAGTGATGCCGAATGGGCGGGCTGCTGCTGCCCTGCAGTGGGGATTGTTGAAACAGCAGCCAGAGAAGAGGATTCTCCAGCCGCCAGCCAGGGAGGAAACAGGAAATATTTACTGTCTACAATCCCTGTTTTCCGTTCGCTCTCATGAACCACACAAGAAACAGCAAGTGAGGGAAGCCTTCCCCTACTCCAGCTGCGCTGTGCAGCGTAAAGAGTACGGGGAATATGACGGAAAGGGAAAGACACATTTCACTTGGTTGCTTTACCTCGTCTTCCTGGATTGCTAGTTTTGTGGGGTTCCTAATAAGATCGGTCTGTAGAAGCCAAATCTACATGTGGCTTCTGTTTTGCTTTCTTATACTGTTCGTTGATTTTTGTAGTCCTAGACATGGAAGCTTGTAAATACTAATTCACATCCACAGACTCCTATACACACTTTTGTACTAGAAACAGAATGACAAATCCCAAGATATGTTGCTTTGGGGTATAAAAGCTATCTCAATCTGTGGCAAATTTTGTTCTTACAGACCCCCCTTTTTTATTAAGTATAAATTTTAGGCAGCAAACTATTAATAGTTATTATTAATCAAAGAGAGGTATTTGTTTAAAGCACAAATTTAGTTTTTAGTTTTATTATCATTTGTTTTATTTATTGTTATTTATGTGTATATGTCTGTGTTTGTCTGTGCTTCTGTCTGTGCCTGTATGTGTGACTGTATGTGCCTGTGTGTGTGTCTGTGCCTGTGTGTATGTATGTGCGTATGTCTGTGCCTGTGGGTGCATGTGTGTGTGTCTGTGTGTGTGCCTGTGTTTATATGTGTGTGTGCGTGTGTGTGTGCCTGTGTCTATATGTGTGTGTGCTTGTGTATGTATTTCTGTGCCTGTGGGTGCCTCTGTGTGTGTGGGGGGTGGGTACCTATGTGTGTGTGTGCACATTTCTGTGGGTGCTCTCAGAGACCAAAAGAGGGGGTCAGATACCCTGGGTACTCCCGTTACACATGAGCTGCCTGATGTGGGTTCTGGGAACCGAGCCCCAGTCCTCTGCAGGAGCAGCACATGCTCTTAACTATGGAGCTGTCTCCCCAGGCTCACAAATTCATTTTTAACCGAATGTTCAGTAACCTAACAGTGGCCTTCACAAATTGATGCAAGAAAACCCAGTAGGGGACTAGTTGGTTAGTTTGGGGGGGGGACTAGTCAACCAGGGATCTGAAATACTAAATATGCAACAAAAACAGGAAAATCTGAATGGCAATAAAGTCTCTATTGTAGTTAGAGTACTGGATCTAACCTAAGGGAACTGACGGTATTCCTTTTGGATGTGAGAAGGGGACATCCAGGTCAAAGAGCGAGAGTGACTTGGAAAGAGCTTAAAACAGTAAACTAGAGGGAGAAGGACATTTTCCTAATCCACAAAGGGTATCGTAAAAAAAAATCCTTGGCCAGTATCGTATTAAATATCAAAAAAAAGATAATGAAAAATTAAGAAGCTCTAATATTCATCCAAAACTGCAAAGGTAAAATCTGGTGTGACATCCGTGAAATACTGAATATGTTAATGAATCCTGTGGATCTACACGGAAAGTGCTTACAGATACGTTTAATGAAGAGATCCAGCTACATGGTGTGAGCCATCCTTGTGAAACTGCAAAGACACGAAGTCCGCAGAATGCTTCCATAGATTCATGAAGGTATAAACGCATGAACTGAATTTGATGCCAAACTTGTGATAATTCTGCCTCTGGGGAGGACAGGGCTGAGGTCTAGAAACCTTTACCTATGGTATAATATTTTACTGGGGGGAGATATATAGAGCAAATATGACCAAATGTTAAATATGTGTGTGTGTACACGGCCATGTGTGTATGCATGTGTATGCAGATTCATGTGTATGTAGAAAACAGAGGCCAACAACAGGTGACTTCTTCTGTCACTCCTCCTCATGTATTTCTGAGACAGAGTCTCTCACTGACCCTGTAGCACACTGATTCTGCAAGGCTAACTGCTCAGGCAGCTCCGGGGATCCAGTCCTTGAATCCCCAGGCTGGGATTGAAGGCTGTGCCAATCCTGGCCTCTTACATGGATTCTGAGAACTAGACTCAGGTCCTCACATTTAGATGAAAAGCCCTTAACCAGCTGATCTATCCGCATATCCCTTTAAACATCTTTTACATTTGGGTGGTGGTGACAACAATATTTTTCCTTTTGTTCTCACGTCTTCCACTAAAAAACAAAGGAGGTTGGTCTAGCCAATGGTGAAAAGCTTACTCTATTTTCTTATTCTCCAACAGAATGCCTGAGGCTGGGTGTCTCAGGGTTTCTCTTGCTGTGAAGACCACAGCAACTCTTATAAAGGACAACATTTAACTAGGTGGCTTATAGTTCAGAGGGTCAGTCCATTATCATCATGGTGGGACAGGGCAGCATGCAGGCAGACAGGGCGCTGGAGGTGACTGAGAGTTCTAAATCTTGTGCAGACAACAGGAAGTGAACAGAACTGGGCATAACTTGAGCACAGGAGATCTCAGAGCCACCCCCACAGTAACACACTTCCTCCTAATGAGGCCACACCTACTTCAACATGGCCACACCTCCTAATAGTGCCATCCCTAAGAGTTTATAGGGATCAGACAACCACACTGAGTAATTGATAAAGGAAAAATGTTTATTTTAACTTACAATTATGGAAATCCAAGAGTACAGTGCTGGCATCTGCAGGCGTGGCCTCAGGATGTTCTGTACACCACAGAAAAGCAGAGCAAGCAGACACATACCACAAAAAAAAAAAAATGAGAGCAAATTCCTGTAAAAAAAAACATAAAACCAGCATTAATCCCTCATTAGGACCCTGGCCCCATAACCCAAATGCCCCTCACTAAGCCCTCCCTCCCAGTACCTCAACATTGAGGAATGAGCCCCAAAATGAGTTTTGGTGGAAAACAACCATGTTCAAACCAAGTGCGGTGTTAATTTGTAAGTCTGGAACCAAATCTAAGCAAAGGGCCACAGAGTCTTCCTCCATGGAGTGCTCAGTTCTTCCTGACAAGAAAGTCAATCAAAACTTCAACAATACTGCTACACAGGTACCTCGGGTCAACACTATTCAGAGCACCTCCAAGTCTCCTCCAGCCCTTTCTCTGAAGCATTCAGTTTGAAAAGTTAATGGGAATAACCCAGCAGCCCCTTCAGTACTGAGATGTTCTGTCAGCATCCTGAAACTAGATTAACCACTGGAAATTTCCAATGATACAATGAGGAGAAAAAAAAATAAGATAGTATGTGGGCTGGAGAGGAGGTTCAGTGGTTAAAGAGAACTGGCTTCTCTTCCAGAGGACTCAGGTTCAATTCCTAGGCACGTGCATGTACACACACACACACACACACACACACACACACACACACACACACACAGATGGTTACACCCATCTGTAACTCCAGTCTAGGGTATCTGATGCCTCAAGAGGTGAACATACAAACAGGCAAGCAACATGACCATACACATAAAAAATAATTTAAAAAATAAGAGAGCAGTAAAATTATTTTCAGCTAAATAATATTGCCTTCTAATTTCATGTGCATGTACATACACATACAACTCACTCATGCAAACAAAATATTTACTGTGGGAATTTGGAGGGAAAAATAACTTCACATTATTTTTCTTAGGTTTAAAAAAAGAATTCCATGGAAATTGAAGTCTCATTCTGACTTCAGTGGCTGGTCAAAGAAAAAGATTATATATATCTTAAGAGTAGCAAGAAAATAAGAACATGAGACTTTATAGATTTTTTTAATAATGTGAAGTATCACTGTGCATTTTAGCAAATAGGAAAATTCCTAGCTTGTGCTCTTTTTCTATTTCAATTGCAGAAACAGGTCACAGGCTCCTGTCACCCCCAGACAACAGATCCGCCAGACACAGGAACTCGGCAGACGCTGATAGAGGGGATTTTAATTTAATCCACAGCCATAAATTATACAAATGTGTCCGTGCCTTAGAAGCTCCCTGGAGGGGATGTTTCTTCAGAAATAAAAAAGAAATGTGATTCGGAAGAAATGTATTTTAGCTAATTATCTCTCTGCATAAGGAAATTAAGGTTGCCCTAAAATAAATTTTGCATTCTAGACTGCAGCCAGGGGAGAGATGCGCCTTGTAATCTCCTCGTTGCTTTGGCTGTCACAATGGAACCGTTCACAGCCCTGATGAGAATCACCCCAAATTATAAGGCAGGGACTGGCATCGCCTTGCATGGTATTAATCTATTAGATAGTGCTGCAATTTGCAACCGGGCCCTGGTACAGGAAGTGCTGATTCGGCAAATCCTCTGCTCTAGAGCCATGGGGCTCTCAGAAATCAGGGCAGCAAACGTTACTAAAGCAGTTCCGGAAAGTGCTGGGGAAGTATCTTCTCCTTTGCTCCATTCCAGATCTCCCAGGCCAAAGGCAGCTCTGAGCCAATGTCATTGTTTGCACAGTCATTAAATCACAAGCAGTTCAATTGTCTCAGAGTGGAAATTTAAAGAGACCCACCAGGTTAGAAATTTTGCAAAATGCATTCAGCAAAACCTCATTTAATTGAAATTCCTCTAATATAAAATTTTTTAAAAATATTGACTGTGGAGATGCCAAATCCAAACCTTGGGCATTTTGACTGACAACAGCAAGATGGCAGATGTTTGGAGATTCATCCTGGAGTGACGAGCCCAATTCGTAGATGTTTCCTAGATATCCTACAAGTTGGGAGCACTGGTAAGCCTACAAGTTCAATTTGGCAGCGAAAGAAACCAGTCGGCTCCTCATTCTTGTATTGAATTGAATATTTGGACAGTTAGGAATACAAATCACCCTCACAAAATCTGTTTACATGGAACTCAGTGTGAGCGTGCGCGTGTGTGTGTGTGTGTGTGTGTGTGTGTGCGCGCGTGAGTGTGAATAAATCTACCTGAACTTTCATCACCTCCTCCAGGAAGCCTTCCAGCTTCACTCCTGCCCTGACCTATTCACCTTCATCGCCAAGGTGTCACTGTGTAGACTTCTCTGGCTTGGAACTCACTAGGTAGACCAGGCTGGTGTCCACCTCATGAAGATCTGCCTGCCTCTGTGTCCTGAGTGCTGGAATTAGAGGTGTGTGAGTCACTTTTAATTTAAGCTTATTTTATCATTATTAGATAGCACGTCCTCATCATTAGAAATCTGAAAAACAAGGAGAAATAGAATAAGGGAAGAAAACTACTCACAGTCCCACTGAGCAAAATAAACCCTAAAGTACTCATTATACTTAGTTTTTACATAACGTGTAAGAAGGCATCCTGAAAAAGATGCATTATACTTAGTTTTTACATAACATGTAAGAAGGCATCCTGAAAAATACGCAGTACCATAGCCCAGCTGGAACTACTGAACACAATAATTACTCAATAATAGCAAATGCGTGGCCTTCTCGGATTCTCACAGAACATTCTCCGGGGAAGAAAACATGTACAGGGACTGGTGCAGCAGCTCGTGGGGGAAA